GTTTGGTCGCTTACCCACCTTCGGAATATACGTCACTTTAGCCACCCTCCATGCCTGAGGGATGTAACCCCACGCATAGCTGGCACGAAAAATTTCCAACAGTGCTCTAGCGATATGTTGGAAACCCCTCTGCAAAAATGCAGGATATATCCCGTCATCACCTGGAGATTTGAAGGGCCTAAAAGAGAAAACGGCCCATCTAATCCTGCCCATCGTGAAGACTTGACGAGATCGTTGCCAGTCATCCCTCCAGCGCCAGGATGCCCTCGGTTCGATGACTGCATTTGAGTGATTCCGAAGAATCTCCGAGCCAGGAAAGTGCGTTGACGCCATAAGCTCCAACGTCTGCTTTCCGTTCTCAGTCATGGAGCCATCAGGACGTTCCATTAGGCCCAACCCGCTAGCATACTTTTTGGAAAGCATCCAGTGAAGACGCGCACTGCTGGGGAGTTCATCAATGCTCTTGCAGAACGCCCTCCACGAGATTCTCTTCGCTTTCCTAATTTCCTTATTGTATTTTGTGAGTGAGTCCTTATACTCTTCCCACGAACCTGACGCCTTGGCCTTATTGAATAGCTTTCTGGTCTTTAGTCTAAGCCTTGAAAGCTCTTCATTCCACCACGGGCACTTCCTATTGCTCCGCCTCGGCTTAGCACGGCAGCTCCCGTGATAGGCATTAGTAATAGCCGCCGTCAGGGCCTCGCTGGCCAGTTCGATATCCATCACCGTTCTGACAGAAGCAGGAACGAATCCAATCCCATCCATGAGGAGCATTTCGAATTGACTCCAGTCTGTGGATTGGGGCACCCGATAAATTTCTTCTGCCAGGCCCCCGGAGACCATGATATCAAACCTAATCTGCCTATGATCGGACATGGATGTCTCATTTGAGACATGCCATCCACCAACCCTACTGCCGATAAATTCAGTGCAAAGGGTGATGTCCAGGACCTCTTCCCTAATTGCATTTATGAATGTCGGCCTATTGCCCTCATTCATAATCATTAATTTATTGCTATATATAAATTCAAGTAGGCACTCACCTCTTTTGTTTATATTGCTGCTTCCCCAGACGGTGTGGTGGGCATTGGCATCACTTCCTATTATAAGTTGGAAGTTCCTCCTTCCACAGAAGTCCACTAGATCCTTCAGTTGCTCGTCCGGGTGGGCACAGTCCCCGGGAGGTAGGATGAGCACACAATGAACTCTGTCCAGCCCCCGCAGGACTTCACCTTCACCAACACAGCTACTTGATCCTTAGAACAGTAATCTGGAATGGGAAAATACGTTAGCCTTTTACTAAACAAAATGCAAGCCCTAGGCCTGTCCCCAGTTGTATTATCATACAAAAGCTCACCTGTTAGGCCCTTAACCTGATCCTTCACTATGTAAGGCTCTTGGATAAGGGCGATATCGAGGTGATCCTTCATAAATCTATGAGCTAGAACATCAGTAGATGCCCTAGCATGCTGTAGATTTATTTGGATGCACCTCACAGCCATATTATTTCCTCCGGCTCTTGTCTATGGGCTTTGGCCCTTTAGACAAAGGCTTTACATGAGCCTTACCTCCCATTGCTGCCTTTTTACACATCTTGGTGGGCGCCTGCCCTGCCACAGCCTCTTTTGCCGTCCCAGGTGCTACGCTAGCCCCTCCAACAGCAAATACCGAAGCAGTTCCGGGCTTCCCAATGGGCTTGAGCCCTTTTGGTTCCCCCGGGACGCTTGTATTTGGCGTGCTGGTCGATGGTCCTTCCGTTTCCCTTACCGCCATTTTCGGAGCAACTTCAGACTTTCCAATGAGTTTTGGCTCTTTTGGTTGGCCTGAAGTGCTCGTCGTTGTCGCGGTGGGCACTAGTTTTTTATTTTGTCCTGCCCTGCCGCCAGCACCTTGAGAGGATTTTCTTCCTTTAACCCGAACGGTAATACGGAAGAAATTCAGGAAAAGTCGGAACTCCGCTTTCCGTAGATCTTCCAATCCGGAATCATCCACGGAAAAGGTGATGGAGCGGCCCCCGTTCTTTTCCTTATCCATCCTCAGCACCCTCCAGGAACTTATCTTGAGGCTGGGATTTTGCTTCCCTATCCTACTTAGAAATTTGTCCCTGGAGAGACTGACGGTTGTCTCGTCCTTTGGTACGTAGGTGACGCAGACATGCTGTTTGGGCATGTCGTCGCCATCCAGCACCACGACATCGCAACCGTCCCAAGGCTTTATCTTCCTGCAGACACTGGTTATCCACTCCCTGGTGTTTTGATTGTTGCATGTTACGGATATCCATCCGTCCCTTTGCAACGCTGCAGTGAATTCTGGATGAGAGTCCACAACCCTATCCATTTCATCCATGATGGCTACTTTGATTTTCCCTATCTGGACTTCGGATAGCCTTTCCTCCGGATGCAGTCTATGAGTGATGGCCACCTTGACCTGTGCTACTGCATCCCGATAAGAAGTCATTTTCGGGTTTTGTTGAGGAATGTTCCCAGGGACCTTTTCCTCAACATTGCCCTTCATCGACCTCTTCTTTGAGGGCCCTGAATCAGGGGTGTTGCTTTCCGACCTTTCCCTCTTTTGGGGATGGTCGGCCACAACACCCGATCCGCAGGCCTTCAGCTTTTCCAGCCTTTCCTTCTCATATCTGCGAGCTTCCTCTGGGGACATGCCTGATATAAGCCGCGATACGCCGCTTGGATGCACCAGAGAAATATTGTTTTTTTCCCCTGATGTCCAACCTTTTCAGGTCCTCCTCAGTTTTTTGAATAATAGGTCCAAGAGGATCCTGATTATCCGTCTCCATCGGAGGCGCCGCCTTTTCCTCTACTGGCGTGAGAAGGAGTTCCTCCTCTGCGTCAGTCAAGAGAAGCTCTGGTTCCGAAGACCCTTGAGCACTAAGTGGTTGTATGTTGTCCTTAGTATTGTTGTTGTTGTTGTAATTGTCACTGTTGTTATTGTTGTTGTTGTTGCAGTTGTCGTGTTTGTCACAGTTGTTCTTGTTGTTGTTGTTTTTGCTGTTGTTGCTGTTTAGATTATTTTCCATTTCTGGTCCCACGAATAGCGCCCAAAACCGCACTGTCACCTCCTAGTGGTGGGCCCCGGTAATGGCGGAGGATAAAGGGGTGATTGAAACGATCAAAGTTACGTTCGTGTCGTGGTCATGTCTCGCGGCGAGCCTCTTGCTTTGTGAGTTTCAGCCCTATATCTATACGTCAGCTGACGACAGGCGCCCCAAGTCAAGGTGGAACAGCATATGCCGATGACTGCGTGGCTAAGGGGGAGCTTAGTCGTTAGTATGCGGACTCTGGATACCAGGCGCCCTCCAGTTTAAACGAGCCTTCCCATGGTATGCCGGGCTCTGCCATGGGTGACTTTGCTTTCCCGCGCTTTTCGTGGGACCAGAAATACATATGTACATACTGCTTTTTTTTATTTTTAAATAATCGTCTACTTTTCAAATTATCTGCTTTTATTGTCATCTGCTATTATATTCTTCTCTCTTTAAAATTTAATTTCAAATACACATATGTATGTATATGAAAATTTTGGTGAAGAAAGAAGACTAAAGTTTTTGGCTTTACTTTTTGGTTTTTCTTTCAATATACAATTTTTTATAGTGTGAAAGTGAGATAGAACCAAAGGCGCTTTTTCGCTCATATTTTTATTTCGTTTGGCATAAAAAATTTTTCATGTTTAAAATTCTAGGTCTTCTCATAAACGCAATAGAAGTAATAGAATATAGCGAGAACTGCGCGATATTTCTGTTCATAAATAAATTTTGCTAATCAAGTAATTAAGTGCATAAACTGCTAATCTATCAAAAAATTTTTACTTTATCATGGCTAGCGCAGTTAATCAGCTACATTTTTTTTACTAGTTTTTGCAATTTTTTAGGAATTCGTTTGTTAATTGTTGTACCTAAAAATAACAAAATTTCTTTTTGTTTCAATTTTCTTTTTGTTTTTCTTAATTTTTATTTTTCCTGGAATAGAATTTTTCACTATTTGGCTCAAAATAAATAAATTTTGTTACCGACATTTTTTGTTCATGAACACAATATTGGAATTTCATAATAGCAAAAGTTTTTATACAATTGTTAAAAATATATTAGAGATTTTCATATGCACAATACTGCAAAACAATAATGTGATGCATACGCAATAGGTTTTTGGCAGTTGTATAAAAAGTTTTGATATTTTGAATTTGCAGTATTGTGTTGCTCATGAACAAAAATTGTCGTTAACGAAAAAAAAAATAAATTTATTTTTAGGAAAAATAAAAATTAAGAAAAACAAAAAAAGAAAACAATTTTTAATTAACAATTAAAAATGTAAAACCAAACTGCAAAAACTTGTAAAAAAAAGTACAACTGATTTAACTGCGCTAGCCCTGATGATTTACCCAGCATTTACACGTACAAGTTACTTGCAAGAAAGTTGCAATACATACAAAAATTTTACTAACACATTGAAATATTTCTACTTGCTTGTTTACTTGCAGTTCAACTTGCAAGAAAATTTTGCTACCAGTAATTTGAGCAAGTAATTTGACATATTGAGAAATTCACAAAAAAAAATTTGTTGTTTTGATTTTTTTTTTCTTTTAATTTAAAATTTTTGAATTTTGTTTTGAAAAAATTAAACTTAGCAAACTTATGGTTTCTAAAATTTATAAACAATTAGTTGTTTTCTTCTCAAAGACATTTTCAAAAATTAACTTGCTAAACGCCTACGTCATAATAGCAAGTAATTTGACATTTCGAAAAACTAATTGACAATTAATATTATACAAACTTGCATGCAAGTAACTTGTATGTGTAAATGCTGGGTTAGATATTTTTGTTATAGATTAGCAATGTTTATGAACAAAATTGATTAGCAACATTTAAGCTTGTGAAAAGGCTGCGTATGTATAACATTACTGTTTTGCTGTATTGTGTTTATGAAAATCCTTTCTCCCCAATAACGTCACATTTTTATATGTCAATGTTCTACAGCAGGCCTTTTAATTTTTTAAACAATTGTTTAATACTTTGTCGTGGTGAAGTAGCAAAAAAGTTAGTTATTCTCATTGTAAAAATAAATTCTTTGAAAAATAAATAGAATGACGTTAAATTTTACGAACACATCTTCAAACTTACCAACAGCACAGCAAGGAGCTGGGGACTCATCGCAAAATAAACCATTAGGTTTAAGTAGTGCAGCTGCAACTACCACTTCAATCACAGGAGGTTTTCAAATAGCAGGAGTTGTTTCAACAACTGCAAATTCGTCGGTGTCACAAGCTTCCACATCAGCACCTCAAACTACTTTATCGAGTGAGACGAAAACAACAGATTCCTCAGTTTCAGCGACTCAGGCGTACAAGCTAACATTTGGGCAGATTGAAGAGCATATTAACAAATGGACCTTAGAGTTAGAAGAACAAGAAAAAACTTTTACAAATCAAGCAACACAAATCAATGCGTGGGACAAATTACTGATTTCTAATAATGACAAAATAATTGCTCTAAATGAAACAGTACAAAAAGTTAAAATCGACCAGCAAACTTTAGAACAGGAACTAGAATTTATTGCAACTCAGCATGCGGAATTAGAGGAAAGCATTGCACCATTACAAAAAAGTTTAAGCGCTGTACCACAGGTTGATGTTGAAAGATCTCAAATATATCAATTAGTTGAAAATTTAGATACTCAGCTTAAACAGATGTCTGAAGATCTGAAAGAAGTAATAGAATATTTGAATGAGGCAACTAAAATGCAAGATAGTTCAGACCCGATTAACCAAATTGGGAGAATCTTAAATGCACACATGAATTCACTTCAATGGATTGAAACTTCCAGTTCAGCAATATCAACAAAATTAGATGATATTTCCAAAATGCATGAACAATTAAAACGGGACTCTGAGAGGTCATTTAGAGCAACGTACAAGCAATAAATTTTCATAAACAATTTTTTAATATTGTTATACAATAAAAAAATCTTTAATTACAATTCTGGTTTTCTCATTTACTTAACCGAAATTTCGAATTTACATAATATTATGTAAAAAATTAAGTATTCAAAGTATACAATTTTCTTCACCGAGAACAAATGTATATATGTAATAATGTATGTACATGCATTGCATTTTAAGTAATAGCGGAATAAAGGAATATGTATATGCTGCAGTAAGTTTATGTGTAGTTCAATTTTATTTACATTTAAATTGTCAGAAGCTAATGTAGTAAAATTGACAATAATTCTTCATTTTTCTTTACAATACTATGGTGATTGGATTTAAAGATTTATCGATTTAGAATTCTAATTTTTCTAATTAGATTTGCAATGTTTTTTTCTTTTTTGTGAAAAGTTTGAAACATTCGTTAAGTTTAGTAGGTGCCTTATAAAGTAAACAGAATAATACCAAAATAGATACAACATACTAAACAAATAAAAATTCTTGCTTGAAAACTGGTAAGCTTTTTTGACTAAATGAAAATTCATTCTAAATGCAATTTCTGCTTTTGTGCTATTGGCCCTTACTTAAATATTTCTTTTTGTTGCGTGAACCTGATTTTCGAGCAAAAATTCTCAAAGAATTTAGGAAACATTTACAAAATTTGAACATGACCTGATCGAATGTTCCGTTACTTCAATGTGATACTTTGTAAAGTTTACGTCGGGCCGCATTATTGAAGTCACGGGTTGTAGATATCAACATGGTAATATAAAAGGGCGATTTTCTTGTTTAGGTTTTTGTTTTATATAATAAAGTAAAAATTAAGATTTACGTACTATGATTGTTTTTTGTTCATGGTCCATTGTACTGCAGCTACAAAATGTATTATTAAATTAAAAAACAAATTTTTATTTTTACAGTACTACATTTATTACTTCTTTATTACATACATATATTTTAAAATAAAAGTAAATTTTATCGAATACATTAGAATAAACTTAGAAATGTAGACATTAATGGCATAATCTTATAAAAGGTATAAAAAAAGACGTGTACATATTTTGAAAAGAAGTTATTTTAATTTATTATTATTATTATTATTATTATTATTATTATTATTATTATTATTATTAAATTTATTACTACATCCGCTTTTAAGTTTAGTCACTTGCATACCTTAACCTTAATTTTAACTTACTCCAATGCTATTTTTAACCCTTAAGTTATCAAATATATAAGTTATTCTACAACTAAATTATACTTTTCAATTTCAGCACACATGTTATTGAAATCGTTATAAAATGATTTAAGCTCCTAAAAAATTTATGATTTCAAAAGAAAGTTCACGAATTATGAGAAAATTATTTTATACCTCATTTTGCTTTGGTTCATTCCTGTGTTTTTTTTTTTTCTTCTTTGGCTGCTCTGCGTCACTTTCTTTATCGGAGTCAGTATCGTTGTATAGTACAAAATTATGGCGAGTTTTCGGGCGCTTTCTTTTAGATCTCTCATATGTTCGTATTGAATTCTTTATTAAAATCTTAATATAGTTAAGAATTTTAAAACCAAAAGCAAAAATTAATACTTACACTAGCTTGAAGAGGAATATTTTCAATTTCAAATAAAGTAGGTTCGTTTTCAATATTCTTATTTTGTATTTCTTTTCCACTTTCTTCAGAACTAATATTTAAGTCTACCGGATCATAATTTTTTTCATCATATTTTTTTCCTGTTTTACTTTTCGTATAAGATAGCATTTGCGGTATATTTTTTTGTTGGAAAGTTTTGGTTGTATCTTCAAATATAGGTCTGATTGTTTTTATATTAAACAATCTGGTTGGCTTGGATACTTCATTGACTTCTCTTAAATTGTTGTTCGGGACCAGCCGTTTTAATTTTTTCAACTTTTTATGCAAATTTTTCTTAGAGTTTTTTAAATCTAGGCTTACGGTTTCGATATTTTCTGCACTCTCTTCTTCAATATCTCTGTCAAAACCAAATAGACTTGTTATTTCTTCTCCCGCCGTTGGATTTTTGAGTTCCGTGGTGGGTTTCTTAAAGAGCGCCTATTAAAATGTAAGAACAGATAAATACAAAATTTAAAACCCCTATGAATATTTGTACTTACATTTTGACTGTTGTATTCTAAGGGAGAAAATGGATTAAATACAGCTGGTCGGTGAATAGGAGTACTGTTATTGTTAGACAATAATGGCAAATTTATTATATCTATTATGTTAATTTGCTTTAAAGGCGAACGGTGAATTTTGCCTTTTTTTGGGTTTGTTTCTATGTTCAAATTGGAATTTTCAAATGCAGGTTGAATGTTTTCAATATTCGAATTATCAAGCGACTTGTTCAATGAAAAATTCCTGGATGAACGCAATACTTGGTTTTTATTTTGTTGGGGACTAGGTGGATTAATTACATCTGATGAAAATGACGGTAAATTTTCAGAGTTTCTTGAAAAATTGAAAAGACTTGGTAAATCTTCTTCCACACGCCAAGGGGAAGCAGATCCTATTTGGTCATTTGAACTTAGTTTTTTCGTCTTTGTTAAAACACTTTGATTTTTATTCATTTCCTCCGACCTTCTTATGAAGCTTTTTGCTAAAGCAAGCAAAACTTTTTTGTCCTTTACTTTTCTAGAATTAACGATCAATCTGGAATATGGATTTTGTGTTGCTCTATTTTTTATACCACGTCTAGCCAAACCGTTTAAACTATTTGTATTATTTCTACTTACTTCTTCAGACATAAAAATATCATTATCAAATCCATTATCATTATTATTTGCGTTTTTAAATGCTTCAAAATCCACTTCCTTTGCAATGTTATTAGTATTTTGCGCTGGATTTGTCACTGCTCGCTTCGACCCGTCCTCACAAATTTGTTTTTTACAAAGTTTGGGTTTTTTAAATTTTGTTTTCAATTTCCCTGAACCCTTCTTATATTTTACAACCTCAACCCTTCCTGCTTTTATTAAATCTTTTATTACATCTTTAGTGGGGTCATCTGAGTTTGAAGGACTGGATTGTGATGCAGTAAAATCAAAAATGCTAGAACTTTTACTTTGTTTTCCTGACGTTTGAACATTTCCTTTTTTTTTCACACTTTTTGATTTTGTGTAAAACTTTTTCTCGAAGGGGGATTTTTCAGAATTTTGGAAAAATTTGCGTGGTGCATCTTTTCTAGTATTACATATTTCTTGCTTTTCAGAAGTTTTTATAATTTCCCTTTTATATTCATGTTCCATCAAATCTTTTTCTTTTTGTTCAAGTTTTCTATTGCATGATCTTTCTTTAAGAATTTTTGAGAGGTTCCTATCGACTTTGATTCGCAATTCCTTTATTTCTGGCTTTAAGTTTTTCGGCTTTCCGTCTTTATTTATCATTTTAGTTGGTGATTGTATTTTTGATTTATTACAGTTCACAATTAAATCCTTCCTATTATATGAAATTCCTAAAATATTTTCTTTTTCTGCATGCAAAAATTTGCATGGTGATTTTTTAATTGTATATATTTCTCGGTTTTCAGAAATATTGTTAATTTGACATTCATTTTCCTCTTTCACCAATTTTGTTCCTTTTTGTTTCGATTCGATACTAAATGATCTTTCTTTAGGAATGGTATCAGCTTGGAGAATTTTTGAAAAATTTTTATTGACTCTGATTCGAAATTTCTTCATTGGTAGCTCCATTTTCTTAGATTTTGCATCTTCCACAATTATTTTAGTTGGTGAATTTACCATTGATGTAGATTTATTACAGTCACCAAACAAATCCCCGGTATTATGTGAAATCCCTAACATATTCTCTATTTCCCTTTCATTTAAATTTGAGGAAGTAACATTGTCGCATTGAATTACTTTTTCGGAGCAGTCATGACTACATAAATTTCTCCTATAAGTTTCAAAACTATCTGCTTTGGAATTCATTTCATCAATTTCTTTTTTTTTTCGATCTTTAAGCGGTTCTAGCCTAAAATAAAAAAAAAAGTAAATATGAAGTAGTTATTTAGTTATATTGAAAAAATAGAAAACATTTGCACATATTTGTTTTTTATGCAAGTATTTTAAGGATTTAGGCATGTTTTAAGGATATTAATTCTTGTTTATAGAGTACATACATATATATATATATATATGTTTATATATATATATATACACATAGTTATATATACATAAATGTATTTCAACCTGTTTTTTTGATATTTTCTTTCCCTCAATTTCATGATTTGAGTATTGTTATTAAAATTATTTCCCTAATTTATTATTTTATTTTGTCATAAATATGTATTTTTGATAAAATGTCACTTTAATTAATATCTAATATAATCCCCAACAACGCAATTTTATGGCTACTGCACAAAATGTGCAAAACAACATTTTCAACAGCCAATTTTCTGAACTATGACGTTTTTTTGACAAGACAAATTCTTGAATATTTTCGAGAATCGAATACTTAAAATAAGTATGGCCGTGGCTAATAAAAATCAATATCACTCCGGTCAATGTTTCAGCACACCATCTATCGTTTATTTAAAAAACTGGTAAGAGACATTAATCTTCAAAAAAAAATTCTTATTTAAAAGAAAAATAAACGATAGATAAACGATTTATAAATAGGTGACGAACGTCAAATTTCAAAATATTTATCAAACATAATCAAATATTTTGTGGTTAGGCAACAGTCCGAAAATTTTGGTTTTAGATTATAAAAGTGTGAAACTTAGAGAAAACTATTTGTGAATCCATTTTGTTTATTTTACTTTTCATTAAAAGGTTTTCGTTGATAACAATTTTTTTTAAAAAATAAAGCCTTGTAAACAACGAATTAGAAATACTAAAGCAAGGAGCATTCCTGTTTCTATCTTGGAAAAAACACAGTGAAGCCAAAAACTTTAGGTAAGTCCCTTTCTTTGCTTCGAGCAAATTTTATCAAAACTTATAAAAAATATATAACAAATGAAAAAAGCAAAAAATCAGTTGAAAAAGAAAAATATGTATAGTTCTAAATTGTTATTCCTATTTGTAAAAATAAATAGTTTTATTACAACTTATACAGGTGAACATTATTCACTTCAATAATTAAAAGAAATATTTATTCAACAGCCCTTTGATTAATTCATAATTTGTAATTTTATTAAGTTTTTAATTTTGCAAAGAAAACATCTGTTTCTGTTTTTTTTATATTGAAATTACTTCGAATGACATAATTTTAACAGGACCGCATTTTTTTCTAAGCAAAATTAGTTTGTGTTTGATAAAATATAGCACACATATTAAAATATTGTATTTTCTTTTTTTTATATAATTATAGTTTTCCTAGAAATGGAATGAAATGGATTGGAGTTATTAATAAAAAAGTTTCCGTATCAAATATTTTACCAAAATTATAATTTTAGAATTCATAAAACAAGTTTATTCAAAGAGAAAGAAAGCAATGAGTTTTTTTTTAAATTTTATTTTTTTTATAGATATTGAAAATGAAAAAATATTTTTCAGTTTTTACTTTAAAAAAAAAATTTAACTCATTAATTTTTTCTAGTTGTCTCTTTCTTAAGAGAAATGTCTTGGCTTCATTGTTTTTTCAAGATGCTCCTTTAGTATTACTAATTCGTTGCTTGTTACATAACCAAAAAACCTTTGTTTCGACAGTTATTGAATTTCAAATGTTTTTAAAACACTAAATTTTACTTTACAAAACTTGAAAAAACTTTACACATTGACAAAATAAAAACGTCATCACTTTCTGTCATTTTTGTTCAAAAAATATTATAATATCAGGTCAAACGCTTTGCATCCAAAACCCTTATAAAGTGTTTTCAAGCTTTATAGTTTTCAAAAACTTTCTTATAGCAGGCCTTATGTAAGTGAAGAATTTTTTATTTTAAGAAAATTCATGTGACAAATAGACTGAATAAGAAAAAAATACTTAAATAAATACTCAAATAAATAAAAAAATAATATCATTATGAATCATTAATAAATAGTATCATTAATGAATTTTTGACTAAGAACTAAGTTTCCGTGAACATTTATATGACATGTATAAGAAAAGTGCGCTTGATTTTTTAGATACATTTAGTTTTATTTTACGTACCCATTACGTATAGAACGCATTTAGAAAAAGTGTACAACGTCAAGAGCTTTTACTAAACTTTTTTGAATGTGATACTTTGTAAGCGCATTATTGAAGTCACGATTTTACAATTGTATGATAAGCTTCAATTTTAGCAACTTATTACTGGTACATACAAAATTTAAGAAATTTTCCAAGTAAGTAAGTGTTTTTATAAAAATCTCTAAAGTTTTGGTGCGCCAATACAGTCATCAGTGTTCCAATAATAAAAATTATCCTTATGATATACATATATATTATTATTTCATCTTGATTCTTAGAACTATTTAGATATGATTGTTGAATTACAAAGTTTTAATATTATTCAAAACAAAATAAGTTAGATAATTTAGTGCTGGAGAAATATCGATGCTTTCAATAGTTTTGCGATATCGAAACCATCGATGTTTTGAAAGTCGATATAATACTATCGACTTTCAAAATATTAAAAATAAAAGTTATTAAATTTTTTAAAAGGAAAAATTTTAAAAACAAGAACGAAAAAATATTCAATTAAATTTCATGAATTTTACAATATTTACTTAGTACATACATACGTATACATATTTTAATAAAATACAATTAGTTTATAGGTATCTGTTTTTCGTTTAAGCTAACAAAATTTGAAAATTTTTACCCTTTTTTCCGATTATGTTCCTTTATTTCGTTATTGTATATTTCGTTGAGTTGTACAACGAACTATTTTTACTGAGATGTGTATTAAGTTTTTGCGTATTGAGTATTTTTTAATTTAAAATAAGCTACTAAAAAAGTAGTTCTATTATGTAACTACAACAAGTAAAAACGTTTCAGCCGGTATAAACCGATTGAATTATACCCTGCACCTTTCGTTGTTGTATAGTAATTACTCGAACTTGAGAAACCATTCTTTCACGAAGGTTCATCCTAATTCGGAATTGTAATATTACCATATCGATACACAATTAAGCAGTTGCCATTTATAAGATGAATTCTGCGTTAATACAGTATTATCATAATTTCGATCTCGAAGTTTTATAAAATGTTGAAGCTAATAATTTCACAGTTATTAAAATTTATATTTTTATGTGCGGCCCATTATGTTTAGGGCATAAAATGTGACAACATAACATAAAGGGCTGTCGTTTTAAAAAGAACAAAATGTAGTAGAAAAAATTATTCGGTAGAATGGATTCTCTATCATATCATTTAAAGAGTACCAAGCTCAAAGAGTAAATCAAAAATAAATACCCATTTTATATGGAGCTATGGAAATTATTTGTGTGAAGGAAATTAATAATAATTTTATTTCTACATATTTTTTTGTTTAAAATTTAAATTTCAAAGAAATGGGTTCGTAAATTCGTTCGGTAAATACATTTAAAAAAAAATTGCAATTTTTAATGCAGCCAACCTTTCCTGTCTTCCAAATGGATGGGTACTGAAATAAAGAGAAAAAATTTTGAATAAGAAATTGGATTTAGAAAAAAAAACAAAAAAATGATAATTATAATCTAGATTACTTTTAAAAATATGCTAAACTTAATGAGAGTCGCAATTACAAGGAATAGTCTAAAATTTAAAAAATAAAAATAAAAAAATATTCGGAATACTTCGAAAACATAAAACATTAAAAATTGTGTTTGCAATGTGCCCAGTTCGCAATATTTTGGAAAACATCTTCAACTTGGTGGCCTCCCTTGTTTGATATAATTACAACGCATTAAAAAAAAATTCGAATCGGGTGAACTTCGATATAATTCGTATGTTTTTTCTCAATGTATTTTCTATTGAAATCAGGGTTGCCGCTTGATTTATTTAAGGTAAAGTTTTATTCAATTAAAAATGGAATTCTTTCGAAGAAAAAGGAATAAAGGCTTTGAAAGCCAAACATTATTACGAAATAAAAGTAACAAAAGTTATTTTGTTAATGAGCAAATTTTCAAAACGAAGCATTCTTAACTTTAAAATAGTCATCAGATACAGAAAGTTTAACTTATTTTCATTTATTTCAACATATATGTATGTACGTTAATAAAACGTAAATTGCTTTAATTTATTAAACATGTGTATATGTAATTCTCACTAAATAAAATAAATAAGAAAAAGGATTTCAACAGCCTCTTTATACGTTTTCTTGACTATGGTACGAATTGATCAACTTTTGAGATATATCAGACTTCGGGAACTGGACCTTTTTGCGGTTAAATTTTACATTTTTTCGTATATAAAAAGAAACTATTAACCTTAACTATTAACAATTTGAGATGTTAAAATAATGAATCTGTAAATTTTTTGCAAAGATCAGGAATTGGAAACTGAATCAGGGATTGGAACCGATTTTACATTTAAATACTTAACGGAATGATGAAATTTCTTGAAATTGGATATTGAAGTTCTGGCTGTTACCGAAACTAACTGGTGAACTTTTCAGAGAGTTCGGGTGGAGAAACAAAGCGAAATTCTACAAAAAGTCAAATTTACACTTTTCTGGGTATGTTAGCTAAAAGCTTGCTAAATTCCTTAAAATTGAAAGGAAATATTGCAAATGCATTTTCATAATCTACTGTAACAGTTTCACTAAACTAGGCGGTCGGTTATGTGCTAACAACGAGCCGAAAACTGGACATCCGAAATTTGGTGCCATTACATAACCTGCCTTATTGTTAGTTGTATGTATGCTACAATAGTTGTTAGTATTTATGCTACCATAGTTTGAAGCACCAAATAGAAGTACAAATATTTCAATCTCAATTAAATTAATTTTTTAGTTTTATTTTCGTATATTATGAGAGAAATGAGCAATTAAAAGCACTTAATTGCACCTTTTTAGGTATTAACTGAAATCTCTGAAATCTTAAAAATTTGTTATATGTACATATATAAATAAATATCAAATTATCAGATAGCAACAGAATTTTAATGCAAGAAGAAACCAGAGTGAAAATTCTGCGCGGGTTTGTCACCTATTCAAAAACCGAACTTATGCATATGCGAAAAATATACAGTTTCGAGAAGTGAAAAGCGACTGTTAATTTTCTTATATATATATTTGTAAACAGTAGACCAGTTAAATAAATTAGAAATTTTCCGATTCTAATTAGAATAAATTATTAAATTTTGAATTTAGAAGAAGAACGTATAGAACGTATTTAGAAAAAGTGTACAATGTCAAGAGCTTCTACTAAACTTTTTAGAATGTGATACTTTGTAAAGTTTACGTCGTAAGCGCATTGTTGAAGTCACGGAGATTATTTATTTTACAATCTATTTGGTTTATTTTTATAAAGCATTATTGAAGCCACGGTTTTTCTGCATAAAGTCATTCCCATAAAAATTGAAATTTTATACTGAAAACCAAAGTACTTTTCAAAAATACCGGGCATTTCGAGTTATGCGACTAACAAAATATGAGTGAAAATTTGAGTATAATTAGTAGTTTAAGTTTTTCTTATTGTGCGGCCTGAGGCAATGTGTGGAAATTTTAATATGGAACGTGATGATAAATGAATTTGACATGCCTGTCTAGAGCTCTATTAAGCATTTTATTTGCAGATTTCACAGCTTTAATTTGTTGAAGATATTTTGTATTAATTCTAAGTTAGCCAATATTTTCCAATATAAAGATGTTTTCAATAAATGTTTGTAATAAAAGGAAAATGATTAGAGGTTGGTGAATTTTTCCTATGAAAATTTTGCAATTTAAACATTATTTTGGTTTTTTTTTTTCATAATTTAGGAATTTTAGGAAATATATTTTTAATAAAATTTATTTTGAACGGAACCTTATGGAATTATTTTTTGCAAGTATTAAAATTTTTTTTTTTTTTCTACTAGGTGAAAAAATCTCGAAGACGAAAAGGGACGACTCTATCTGCCTTTTTCCTCAGACAGTGGGGGAGCGTGACTCCTACCCCAAAAAATCACCTAAATTTTGAACGGATAAAACTAGTCCTACAGACCATTTTTTACCTCCGCGCTAACTTTGTTTTTCCGTGCAGGAATTAAATACCTTCCATAAGGAAATTGGTATTTCGTGTTAAATCGAATGGTCTTGTTCGTTTAAGTTGTTCGAGCTGCTTCCATATTTACATGCTGTTTTAGATTTACATGCTTTCTAGCGCAACTCCTAATTTCATCCTCAACCAAAGGAATTCCCTGTGGATATCACTGTTACGTATATACCATGGCGCATTTACCATGCCCCGTAGAACTTTATTCTGGAAGGTTTGAATTTTGTTAATGTGAGTCTTCTTGACACAACCCCACAGTTGAATGCCATATCGCCATATTGGTTTAATGATTTAGTTATAAATTAATATCTTATTATCAATTGCCAAATTGGACTTACGATCTAGGAGCCAATAATTTTTTCTATATTTATTTTCTAATTCTATGTGTTTCTTCTTTATATGCTCTTTCCGCCTTAGTTTGACATCTAAAGTCATTCCTAGGTATTTTGCTGAGTTATGGATCGCTACGTTCGTTCCATTTACGTTAATTTGTGATGGATGGCCCTAACTTAAGTAATAAGGCCCCTGTGGCACACCTTGTCAAATGCCTGTGCTACAGCTAGAAACATAGAAGAGCAGATTTCCTTATTTTCCAAGCTTTTTTCTATAATATTAGTCATTCTATGGACCTGGTCTATTATAGAATGGTTTCTTCTAAAACCAAATTGATGGTTCGGTATTAGGCCCCTATTTTCTATTATTGGCTTCAATCTCCTTAATAGCAGCTTTTCATAAAGCTTAGACATCATTGGTAACAGTGAAATGGGCCTGTAAGCCTTTGATTCCCTCAAGGAAACATCCTGGGTTCAAGGATTTCCTGGGTTTGGGGCACCATAATTACCTCCGCGACTTTCCAAGCGCAAGGAACATACCCAAAATCCATAGCTGCATTCATGATTTTCATCAGATGTTCCAATGCCTCGTCTGGTAGCTCTCTCAGTACTTCCGCAGTAATAAGATCAAAAAATGGCGATTTTTTCAACTTCAGGGATCTTATCTCTCCCGCAATTTCTAATTGAGTAAGTGGACCTATGCTGTCTGCTTCATTTGCGATAGATTCTACCAAACCCACATCTGAAGTTATTCCGTTTGGAGTGAATATGTTTTCCAAGTGATCAGCAAACAATTCGGCCTTCTCTCTATTGCTCCTCGCCCAACTGCCATTTGCTTTCATCAGTGGCGGAGCGTGCCTAATCGGTCTCTTTTTACTCCTTGCCGCCTTTCATAAGGAATAATTCTTTTCCCTCGTAGCTGACAAGTTCTTTATATAATTTTCGTATGTTGCCGATTTAAATTCTTAGATTTAAGCAACTGGGAAAGTCTGTTTAAAACAGTTTTATCATCCTGGTGACGCGAACGTTGCCATCTACGTCTGGTCCTTCTCTTTTCACCTACTAAATCAGTTCCATTTTCTCCAGGATAGGTATTTGCTCTCGGTTTGTACTTTGAACTTTTTGTACTGTTCCATGCAGCTCTTTGTATGATTTTAATAAATCCTTCTAACTCCACATCTAATTGCTCTCTTGATTGTATATTAATATTTACGTCAATATTGTTTATTATTTCGTATCCAAAAGCTTGCCCAATCTGTAGCGCTATTTGTTAAACTGGGCCTAAATAATGTTTTAGTTATTTTTTCACTTAGTTTTAATATGACAGCAGAGTGATCCGAATTAAAATCATAGTTATCTTCAAGGCTTAGAAAGTTTTCTGATATTTTTTTGGTTATAAAAAGTCAATAACATCAGGAATCTTGTTAGTGTTAGTAGGCCAATAAGTAGGAGTGCTAGTGGAGTGACAGCAACAACCTAGCTCCTGAATAGCTTTTCTTAGCTCTCTTCCTCTAGTTGAGGTGATTCTAGAAATCCAATCTGTATATTTGGCAATATAGTCACCTGGTGTTAGATATCTGTGTCCATGCTTGTACAGGAGGTCTTTAAAAGTATTTTTCTTAATGCTGCAATTTGGTGGACAGTATACAGCACCAACACTAAAGTTCTGTTTAGTCGATTTAATTTTTATTTCAAATGAGCCTCCGACAGCAAACAAATATCTATATTTCTCGTTTTGAGAAAGACCTCCAATTCTTGTTTCTTATTAAGAACACCATTAGCATTCCAAGTTACTATACGCACCTCATTTACGTACATGTTTTCTTAACTTCGTTGGTGTCCCCGTATACATCTCAGTGTATGCATTTTCTATTTTTAATAATCTTTTAAAGATCTCGTCAATTCTAATCAACATACTATGCGTCATTTGCATAATATCTGCGTCAGTTCTTTTTATTTGTGGGGTTTCACTTTGAAGCGCTTGTGAATAAGATACTCCCTTTAACACCTTGCTAGGTGCCGATATTCTGTCTATTTTTGGAGTTCTTTGTTCATTAAATTTAACTTGGTTTTGTTGGGTTTTATTCCTTTTCAAT